TAATGTACCTTACAATATCTTCATGCTATGAATTCCAGAATAATGACAAGTCTTTCATTCTTAATTAGAAGTCTCCAATATTTTGTCTATTTTTTCATATTTTTTCTATTTTTTTCACCATTTAAAATTTCTTAAATTCTAAATATAGCAAATTATATCATTTTACTTTCTGCAACGATTTAATCGATAATTATATGAATATTATTGTAAATATTTCTAAAATATTTTAAATACAAATAATTTTAAACTGAACCAAATAAATTGGATAACTTTAACTCAATCAAATAAATATTAATATGAATTTTTATAGAAAAGCTTTATTTTTTTCTCAATTTTTAATTTCATTTCAGTCTCTAAACTTTCTTACTATGTAAAAACGTATTATTATAGTAATAAAATAAAATACATGTTTATTCGATCTCGTATTTCAAAAAAATAAAATTACTTATATAAAAAGATTCTCTTTAGTCAACTTTCTTTTTGAATCTCTAATAAGTTTTTACTGTTGCTTCTATATATTAAGTATTGATTCTTGTAGTAAAGAAAATCCGGAACGTTTATTTATTAGAATACTCGAACTTTGACTTACATATTACTAATTGTAATTATTTTCAAGAGCTATTTCTATTACTCCTACTTGTTCGGCTTAAAATCTGCTATATTGTTAAGATAAACTAAGTCTAAATTTTGAACCATTTTTTGAAGTTTAAAGTGTAATACATATCGATTTTTTATCCGAATTTAAGAATTGCTTCAAAGTTTTAGCGTGAAATCGTGCATTTTTTCTAATGAAATTGTTATTATAAGATAAGCAATCTGAGTTTTTTTGAATAATATGTCACTACACATGATAGAGCGTTACGTGCTGAAAAGTTACGCTTCGTTCTGAAAGTGGTAATGAAGTTTTATTAGAATTCATCAAAAAAACGTATGAAAATAATCGTATGTCAAAATGTGAGCACTTCTCAAAATTTGCTCACATTTTGACTATTTTTGTGAGATCTTCCTCACAATTTTTTGACAAACGTACAAAAAGTGCCAAAATGTGAGCAAATGTGAGCAATTTTTATATCTCAAAATTATAAATTTATTTTTGATTAAATGGATTTAAATTCATCCACTCCTTATGAAGAATTAGCACGAGTATATAATACATACATAGATGATATGATTAATGAAGCATTGAGTGATAATAGAAATGCTCTATCTAAGGAAAAATTAATGAAAATTCCATATTCTGAATGTTACTTAAATTCAATCACTGCAGCAATTGGTAAACAAAATAAAGGTAAAACATTAACGATATTAAAACAAATTATCATTATTGCTAACACTTCCCCCTATTCACATGTGTTAATTTATATCAACCGTTCAGGTTCACCTTCAGATGATACATTTGAATCTTTAAAGCATTTAATCAAAATTCCAATTATTTCTTTATCACAAGAAGAAGCAGAAGATTATTTAAAAAACTTTTTAATGTATAAAGAATTATATAATACAATCAAGAAGCAAGGATTAGAGGATAAAATTATTGATAAACAACGGGATGAATTATTTGAAACACTTTCTATTTCAAATTTTGATAGAGAATTTTTGCATTCACTCATTTTTCTAGATGATGCAGTGAAATCAAAACTAATAACAAATGAGAAATCATATTTTAATCAGTTATTAACTCAATGTCGACACATTCAGTGTTCATTCTTCATGGCTGTTCAATACTTCAAAGCATTAAGCACAAACATTAAATCAAATCTATCAACCCTTTTCATTTTCAGTGGGTTTAGTCGTCAACAGTTGAACGTTATGCTTTATCAAGTGAATTTACCAATGAGCATTAATGAACTTTACACACAATATCAGCAATTAGGTGAACATGGGAAAATAATAGTTGATTTAAATAAAGGAGGTGTTAAATTTGATTAACTTTTTATAATTAATTTTTATTTTTTATTTATAATTAAACATGACAGAAATAGCAAATCTTCTACAGGTTCCATTAAAACAAGGAACAAACAAAAAGAGTGCATATAATAGAACTATGAAAGTTCCTGATGGAATGAAAGAATTAGTTCATATTGTTGCTGGTCTTCAAAAAGATGTTAAACAAATGAGAAACGTTTTAACATTACCAGAAGCTCAAGCATATGCCAAACGTCAAGGTCCAAATTGGGAAGCACACGAAGCAGACATTACGGGTCCAAATGGAAAACCTGATGGTATAAATGAAGTTTTCATTACTGATGGTCAAGGAAATATTAAAGTCATAAATGGTTACAAATTAACTATGACTGATTATCCTAAACGTAAAGCATATAATGAGCGTTATCCTATGCAATTTGATGAAAATGGAAAAGCTGTTAAACAATACATTGGAGAAGGTGAAAATGGTCCAATTAATTCATACCGTCATAATCCATATTCTTATTTCAATGAAGAATTAAATGCTATTGAAGAGGGACCGGATGGATTACCACGATATTCTAACCAGTTTGATGGTCAATATGCAAATATTAGACCCGAAATTTCAGCTAAGAAATTCTTTAAAGTTGCTTTATTCGATCCAGTTTTCGCAAATGTTAAAGATGAACTTAAACATCAATTCCAACCAATTATAGTAGCAAGAATTGCATCAGGTGCTTTATCTCAAGCATTCAAAGATTTAATTAAGAAACCATTATATCAGCAACGAGGTTTAACTTATGATTTAGTTAAGGAATCAGATAAAAGAAAATTTGAGAAATCAGATGATTATAAGAATGCAATTAATGAATATATTAGGTCTATTAATTACAATGAACCAGCTAAAAATCAACTTCATGAACAAATACAGGGAATAATAGATTCAAAACTTCCAGCAAAATAAAAGTTTAAATATATTTTTTTATTCGATTATAAATGAGAAGACGTTTCACTAGTCAAAAGAACACTAACGCAAAAGCAGAGATTACGGTTGGTTATAACGTAAATGATGATAAATCACGAATTATTCAAAATGTTAAAGTTAATGTTAGCCCTGAATTAACAAGGTCAGCAACTCAACCAAATTTATTAACTCGTGACTTACCGAAAAAGGAGGAGGAGCAAAATAAAGAAGATGGAGACCCAATCATTTTATCTGAACCCGGTAAAGAACCTGTTGAAATTCCCACTTATCCAACATACCCCCACCTCTTTCATCAAACATCGAGAACCCATATAAAATAGACATTAATTCTGAATTAATGAAAATTTACCGTGATATAATAATTAATAATTATGATTCAATAATAAATTTAATTGATCAATCCGGTTTAATTATTTTACCTTATGAATCATTAATTCACATTATCGCCATTCTTTGTGATGTTCAAGATTCAGACGTTAAGATTCAATTTTTCATAGATGATGAGGTTTCATGCTGCAGAACAGTTGCAAAAATAAATCCTATAAAGGATATTAGCACAATTAAGATATCAAAGAACGGAACAACAACTGAACTTCATTTAACATATAATGATATTTATAATAAAATAGTTGATGAATATAAAATATCACTTGAAAAATTCTTTGTTAAGGCTATTTAATATTCAAGCATTAACATTATCGAATAATAATCCTTTGAATCATAATCAATAATAATTGACCTTTCACCAGTTTCTATCGTTTGTTTTATTTCTTTTTGTTCCCCACTATCCAGATCGGTCATTGTAATTGTTTTTGTTATAGTATCAGCTTTATCTTTAACTTCAATCTTTTTTCCATCGGGATATTTAAACCAAAATTCCAAAAATTCGATATTGTCAATCTGTTCATATTTTAATCTATCAATTACATTTTTAATACCATCTGAAAATCTTATGAAATGGTCATTATATGGGTTTGATTGAACTAAATTTGAATGAAGTGAAATATAACCTGTTGATGAATATGACACTGACTCATATTTTCTGAAAACACTAAAATTTATAACATGAATGAATTTCTTATTCGTTGAATTTATGAATTCTTGAGGTAATCTTATTCTAGTTTTATTTATCACTGGAAAATAACGCTTTACCATATTTTTAATCGTAATAAAAAATGTCAATTATCAATATTATTTCGAATAACAACTGTGAATTAAATTTAACAGTTAGCGGAATTTATAATGTTACTCTCGTTTCTGTGAGTGGTAAATTTAATCCCATTCTTTTAGACCCTTCAGATTATTATCATTTATTAAAGATGACCATAAAAAACGTATGATATGTATATAAATAATGTGATAGCGAAATGGGATATTAACATGATTTTAAGTTATTTAAATGAATCATTTATCGTATGGTATGAAGAAAATTTTAAATCAAAACCTGATAAACTTTTTGAACTTAATGAAATAAATAACCTTATTAAATTCCCGCTGAAAATTAAATTTTGTACTCCTCATCTTCGTTCATTGTTGGGGATATTAAATTTTGAAAAAGATGTTGGGGATGTTTTGTATTCTGACACTGGTTCAATTTCATTTTAATCAAATGTGATAAAGTTAATACCCCAATGAGATTTTCACATCAAACATTAGACCTAACTCTTACCCATCAATACAAAACATTTTATCCATCAACTTAAACACATTTTCTTTATCATATCCGTTTCAATTATCCGGGAATTCATTTATTCTTCATTCAAAAGATTTATCAAATATTAAATTTAGAATAACTGACCTATTTGATTGTGATTTAGAATTTATGAATGAAATATTATGGCAATTTCAAATAGAGAAAATAGCTGATGAGATAACGGATTAAATATTTATTTTTAAATCGTAATAAATGATTAAACAACAGCAACTTAAGGCGCAAAGCGCCCAGGTCCTTTAGACCATTACATACACCACATATGCATATAATTCAAAGACGGCAGAACAAACGCAAAGGTTGAAATATGGAGATTTGGAGATAGTATTGAAAAATGAACATTTCGAATTCGTTTGCAAAGGTGGTGCAGTGATATCAAATATAAAAGAAATTTTATTTATGAATTCTAAAATTAAAGGTATAACGGATGATATAACATCAATTCCACCAGAAGAACAGAGATATTACGCATTAAATGCATTTCCTAAAGTTTTGAAGATTGGAAGATTTAATTTAAATGAGGAATTCATAGAAGGTTTCCTAAATGACATAATGAAGAAGGTGGATAAGGAATACGTTAATACTGAGTTAAATAAGAAGGCAAATTTGGTTTATGTAGATGAAAAAGATAATGAAATTAAAGAAAAGGTTGAATGGTATCATGAATGGACATTGGAGACTTTTAAAGTTAAAGCTGATACAGGATGGGTTTCAGGATGTTTAGACCTTAAAGCAGATAAAACTTATGTAGATGAAAAAGATAATGAAATTAAAGAAAAGGTTGAATGGTATCATGAATGGACATTGGAGACTTTTAAAGTTAAAGCTGATACAGGATGGGTTTCAGGATGTTTAGACCTTAAAGCAGATAAAACTTATGTAGATGAAAATTATGCAAAGAAGTCGGAAGTAAATGATGCGGTTAATGGTAAAATTAATGAAAGATTTTCGAATATAGATTCATTAACAGTTAATGACATTCAATTACATCATCAATTACCTGGTCAAAAGAATGTGGAATATAATAATCTTACTCATGTTCTCGATGGTTTCGATGAATTTAGAACAGATGCAACAAATGCGATTACAAGCATGAAAAATGAAATACTTCAAACATTATATCCTATAGGCTCTATTTATACATCAATGAACTCAACAAATCCAGCTGATGTATTCGGTTTCGGTACATGTCAACAAATAACCGATCGTTTCCTCTATTGTGCTAATAGTTCAAAACAAACCGGTGGTTCAAAGAAAATTAAAGAAGCAAACCTTCCGCCGCATAAGCATACAGGAACTACAAACTTTTCTGGCGACCATATACACTCATTAAGAGACCACCCATTATACAACTCAGACTATGAAGCCGGTCATGATGTTTTATCTCCAGCTTATAATGATTCAACAAAAAAGACTTTTCGACAAACTGAACCAGGAAGAAATCATTCACACACTTTCACAACAAATCCAACAGGCTCGGGTGAAGATTACATGCCACCATTTATGACTGTATTTGCATGGTACCGAATGAACTAAATATATTTTATGTCTGTAATTAATTAGGTAATGAAGTAATGGATGAACTGCAGAAATATATTTTATCGTTAATGGTTTTTAGGTTATTCAATAATTAATTATTTTTGAAGAACTGATGGTGTCACCACGTCACCATGTGTTACCAGGTTAATTAACTTCTCTTAAAAATGATGACAACATGACATTTTGACAACAGTCCCGGAAATTTGATGCAGCCCAAAAATAAAGTTAGTTTTAAAATTATTTTTATTTTTTTATTCCTATATAAATGACAGCAACAAACAACAACAGCAACTATATCGTTTCTGATGAAAAAGTTATTGATTCATTAGCTGAGGAATTAGTTGTGGCAGAAACTAAAACCCTCAACGAAAGAATTGGTGAAAACAAGATTGATTTACATAACTACCTCAAACACGATGGAGGAAGAGGAAGGAAAACTGGTGTGGCTTTATTAGTAAATAAAATTTCAAATTTAACGATTATAGATGTTGATATCAATAAATCATACAATGATGAACTTAAAGAAACAGTTAGAAAAGATATTTTATCAAAACTTTCGGATAAAGATGTTATCGTTAAAACCGCTTCAGGAAGTCTTCACATTTATTGCAACACCAATTTCTTCTATTCAGTTTCGAACAGAATGATTAAATGCTATTCCTGCAATGATTATGATATCGATATCATGACTTCTATTGATGATTCAAAGCGTTCTTTAGTAGTTATGGCTGATTCAAGAGTTCGCAAGAATGCAACAGAACCAATCAATACATACTCATTCATTCGTGGAAGTTACGATTCAACATTAACCAGAACAGTGAATGATATATTAAATGATTTGAATATTAAGGTAAGAGTTTGAACAGAAGAACGAAGAATAAAGACTATCATGAATGAAAACAAAGATGTAACATTGACGATAAACTTGCCCCAGAGCATAGTTGATGGCATCAGTGATTTTGAAGTACATAATGACGGTGGAAACATGAATTTAGAAAAGAAGTTACATTATTCACACTGTTTCAAGCAATTAATTTCGTTACCTAATCATTTAATTAATGAAGCATACGATAACGTTTATAACTTCTGCAATTTAACTGAAAATGCAAAAGTAATTTTGAAAGCACGTAGTAGATATGCACATTTAATGACTTCTCCATTTGTTTTAGTGAAGATTCTAAAACTATATCAAAAGGAATATTATGATGAATACGTTTTACCTTTATTACGTAAGCCAAAAATAACATTTGATATAAAACTTGATGACTCGTTTTTGAAGATATTAGACGCAAGGCTGAAAATCATCAGTATAAAAACAGTTTCTGAAGTAATTGAGGATTTATCACGTGTAATCCGTTTTGTAGATTGTGGAAATAAATATTTCATTCAAAGGACTATAATATCCACGACAAAATGAATCAAATATCATTCGTTCTTCAATCAAACATGAAAGAGTCACTTAAAATGATTAAATTATTTAAAGAAGAAGGTAAAACAATAACAGCATGGGATGTACTACTAAATCAATTACCCTCATTAACCGTTAAGGGTGTTTGCTTTAAATCTGATTCTCCAGATGTTTTCTCAACGTTTCAAGGTTATAAATACAACGTTCTCGAAAAGCCTGATTACTCAAAAATTGAGATGTTTATGAATTTCATTAAAGAAGCCATTTGTGATAATAATGATGAAGTGTATAAATACCTTCTCGGCTGGATTGCATCAATGATTCAACATCCTGGAATCAAGAATGAAACAGCAATTATTTTGAAAGGACTTCAGGGAACGGGTAAAAACAGATTTACAGACATTATTTCTGAACTTCTCGCTGGTTATTCATGTAAAAACATTACTGAAATAAGTGAGCTAACGGGTAATTTCAACTCAGTAGTTGAGAATAAAATGTTTCTTGTACTTAATGAACTCAAGAATGTTGGTGAAGACAGACTCGCAAACTTCAACGCTTTGAAATCAATTATAACGGATAATGAGATAAGAATTAATGAAAAGAATCAACCCAGAAGAACTGCTCAGAATGTTGCCAATTTCATTTTCGTAACTAATAACGTCTACCCTGTCAAAATTGAAGTTGGAGACAGAAGATACGTAGTTTTAAGAGTTCATGGTAAATTCAAGGGTCAATTTGATTACTTCAAGAATTTAATGAATTCATGCACAAAGGAATTTTATGATAATTTACTGACGTATTTTATGCAATATGACCTTTTATCATTTAATGTACGAATCATACCGATGACTGAAGCCAAACAAGATTTAATAGAATTATCAACAAATCCTTTAGATGTATGGATAAATACACATTATGATGAATTGTGTGCAGGTATGACGTGTAAAAATGCTCTATGCTGCAAACCATCAGACATGAAAGACAAAAACTTTCAAATGAGCATTAAGGATAAATGTGATAGGAAACAGAGAAGAATAGATGGTAAACAAACATGGTGTTATGTTTTGAAAGAAGAAATGAAAGGATTATATAAACAGGTTGAACCAAACGATAATGAGGATTCATTTACTGACGATGAAATACCTGTAAATGAAGCTTTATAAAGTACGATTTGAATTTTGCATTAATCCTGCTGTGATGTCTAAATGTCATGTTGTCAGTAATTTTAAGAGAAGTTAATTAACCTGGTGACATGGTGACGTAGTGACCATCAGTTCTTCAAAAATAATTCATAAATGCCTTCCTCCTTTCGTACCCGTTGTCTAAATGTCATGTTGTCAGTAATTTTAAGAGAAGTTAATTAACCTGGTGACATGGTGACGTAGTGACACCTTCAGTTCTTCAAAAATAATTAATTATTGAATAACCTAAAAACCATTAACGATAAAATAACTGATAACAAAATTTTATTTTTATATAAATGGATACCCCACAAGCTCAAAATTTACCACGAATCATAACAAGGGAGGAAATGATAAAAATGATGCAAGAACGAATTAAAAACAACAAACCACGAAAACCGAGAAGATGTGGTTATGCAGTAATGATGGAAAGAAGAACCCAGAAGGGTTCGGCGTCTCGAAGAGACGTTGTCGAAGAGGAATAAAAATTAAATTTGGATTGAGTTTAAAAATTCATCTTTATTAAATTCATCTATTCCAATCAATTTATTTATTCTATTAAATTCTTTTATTTTTGCTTCACTCAGTTTAAGGATTGAACGGTAAGTTTCTAATTTTTCGATTATTTCTTTCCTCTCTTTAGCGTTTTCAATTACTTTAGTTTTTCTGGGCATCAGCCCCGCCGCATTGCAGCTTCTTTTTGTAATAGCATATTTTTGATTTAATTCTGTTTAGTTTCTTTTTATATTCATCGTCTGGACTCTGAATCTTAATTGAATCAGGACTCTTGGATGCTTCGTTGTCACTCATTTCTTACGAATTAAAAAAATTAAATATTATTTAAATATAATGGAGTAATAAAATAAATCGGAATTTCTATTAATTTATTGTTAACCTCAACTAATGCATTGCCGTTAATATATCTAATAAATTCAGCTATTGTGTCAAATCTTCGTCTTCTTTTTGTCATTGATTTATCAGTTTTTCCATAATCGAGATGAATCAAAACTTTATCCTCTTGTTTAAAATTCATGAGCCTCGAATTAATTTGTTCACGTTTAACATCATTTAACCTTTCCATTTGCTTTCTAATATATTCCCATTCTTTTGAAATATCATTTTTCATTTCCACTGGTTTCATGTTTATAGTTCTATGCCATGTATTATTGTAATAATATACTAACTGCTGTATGATGGAGTCATGATTTCCATCCCAGTATATCCGACCGTTAACCCCTAACGCATCTCTAAGAGTTCTCATTACCGCATCAACTATTTTATTATGAAACGTATATGGAGAGGATGAGAAGTAAAAAATTAATTTGTGGGAAATAATGAATCATAGCTGCCATGAAATCCTTTATCGCCATCACCCCTGATATTATCTACTCTTTCATGATCTAGTAAGTATTGAATAGCTCTTCTTGTTTCCTGTTCTGTTTTCCCTTTCACTGGAATGCAATATAAATATCTAGTGTTAATGTTAATGGCGAATAAATAAGTAACGTTTCCTTTTGAATATTCTAAATGATCGATTTCGTATGAATATGGATATGGAGCAAATGAAGGGCGACTAAATTTTTTCCTTTAACGGTTGAATTTTCGGGTCAATTGGTTTATTTAATATCTTGAAATCCTTTTTAAAATCTTTTTGCTTCTTTAATGTTTGAAAATGGATATAATAAAGTGAATGATGAAGGATTAACTGAAGGAGGAGGAGGTACTACCGTTGGAGGTTTTAGTGTTCCAAGTGGTTTAATTTTATCTGCTTTGATTTTGGATGATGAAGTTTTGGATTTCATTTCCCCCTTTCATTAATTCTGGATGTATTCTATTCATTTGTTTTAAATATGCTGTATATAAAGGTTTGATATACTTTCCCGCTTCGAGTTTATGTTGAAGGATGAATTCCAAAAGTTGATCTTCATTTAAAAGTCGGGCTGAATATGATTTAACTAATGAATCATAAATTAAAGCTTGTGCATCATTTATGGCCTGAAGGACCTGGGTGTTTTGCACCTTTTGTTTTTGTTCCTTTGGCTTTTGCGGCTCAGGATTATATAATTTATATAATTCATCAATATCTTCTTCTGTTAATACTTTATTTTTGAAATCTTTCAACTGTTTAAGTTGTGATTTAGTTTTTCCCTTTGTATATTCATTATTTTTAATTTTGTCTTTAATTTTAGAAATTATTTTATCATGATATTTCAAAATTTCATTTTTATAATATGGATAATAATAATCCATATCATCACCCGTTATATTGTTATTATGTTTTTGGAGATATGATTTTAATTCATAATAATTAAGAAATTTTTGATTAAGTACTAAATCATAAATTAAATTTTTTAAATCTGTGTTATCCATTTATATAAAAATAAAATAAATGTTTTAAGGGTGCCCACCTCTTTGAATCATAGTATCAAAACCATTATTTACATATTGAATCGCATCATTAACGGTTCCTTTTTTCTCTTCTGTGGTATTTTATTAAAAATAAAATTTTAAATTGTATTAAATAAATGGCATACAACATCCATTTTCACAACATACAGCCTTAGTGTGTGCTCCTGTTAATGCAGTCTTACCGATTGTTAAGCGAGTCATTGACCCGTTTTTAAGTTGTAAATTAATATTCTGACCATCGAAAATAACTTTATCATTTATTATATCCAAATAATTTTTAGGTGTTAATTGTTTATTTTGTCGTAAACTAACTCCTTTCATTTTTTGTGCAATCTTTTTAAAATCACTTCCATCAATTGAACCGTTGAATGAAGTATAACACTTAGGGCATAAAGCAACCATATTATCACCTTGTTTCTCAATTGCTAAACCCAATAACTTCTTCTCATGTGCTTTTTCTTCAGCTTTATTCTTTAATTTGGGTTTAAATTTCTCATCAAAACAGAAGAAATCAAATGGTGCGAATTTGAAAATGTTTTTATCATAAAATTGTTTATCGGTTACAATTGCTTGAAATGCTTGAGTGTTAGGAAGATTTGGGTCGCCAGCGATTGCCCAATAAGATGAATCAGTATCACCTTCAATGAAATGAAAACGATTAACATTCATGCATTTATACATAAAATCATACATGAAAACCAAATACCAGTATTTAGCATTATCTAAAGTGAAGAATGCCTCTTGTAAACATGTATCACATCTATAAAATCTATCTTTAAGCATCACTTGATATGTATCTTCACCTATTTCTCTTATGTTTTTAAACTTATTTGACATACATGCAACGCGTGCCTTCTGTGCATTCATTATTTTAGTCTTTGCGTAATTTTGTGTATTCATTGCATCGTAACCATATGATCCATTAAGTGAAATCCTGCAAAATAAACTTTTTCCTTTATTTCCTTCTAATTCAGCCTTTTGTCTTTCGTTCATAAATTCGTTCGCAAATTCATTAAAACAAGTGTTTTTAGTAAATGTTAAAATTGATTGAATGTCATCAATGATAAAATTAAACCTGTCGATTAGATACCATAGATAATAAGAAGAAAATGGTTGATATTGGTTGTGTGTTGATGCTAACTGAGTTAATTTCCTCTGTTTCTGGTCAACTGGTAAATTGTTTGATTTCATGTAATTATACATAAAACTGCCAATTGTTTTTTCATCTGTGATAATATCTAAGTTTCTTATTATCGGTAAAAAGTTTATGTAATCATTAATGTATTTTTCATCAATGTGACCCTTTACTTCAGCCACGAATAAAGTATTTTTCTTCTTAATTATTCCCAGTGCTTTTGCTTTCTTTGCTGCTGTATCACAAATGATAACACCATTCAATCTTCCCGGCATATACATTTTATGGTCAGTATATTGAATGAAATCATGAGGATTAGATGAAAATGATGAAGGATATAATGAATTAAAATCAACACCAACGAAATGAGTCATAATGTTGGTGGTGTCCTCATTTGATACAGTTTTAGTTTCTGGATTATATGAAAGTTTATTAATGTGCGTGATTCCTTTAAGATTTACTCTATGTTGAACATTTGATAGACCACCAGTAATTCCATTACGGAGAATGTGATAGGCTTCAACTGAATCTAAAGTCATTGGTAAATTATTTTTTAATGCATAATTTCTTAAATTGATTCTTAAACGTTGAACATCTTCATCTTTATTTGATTTTACGACATTGCAATAACAACACATTAACTGACAATTTTCTTTAGTATGTGGTTTTTCATTATCTATTCTATCTAATGTTGGTTTATTTGCATATGTAAACGCTTTACCACATATTTTGCATTTAGATGAAAGGATTAAATCGTGATAGTATTGAAAATCATCCATTGAAACATTATTTTTAGTATCCCTTTCTGCTTTTTCATCTTGTTTCTTATATGATTCAATTTTATATTTCCAATACTTTTTCGTTAATTCAAAACTTGATTCTATCTCTTCCTCAGGATATTTTTCATTAGGATTAAAGTCTTTATATGCTAAAGCGTAACGAATCATTGAAGCATTCGATGATAAAGAAAGATTATGAAGCATATCAATTTTATAAACAAATGTTTCTTCAATAATTTTATCGATTGGGTCAATCATAATTTCAACATCTTTATTGCAATAATGAATAAAATATTCTAATCTATTCTTAAAATTTTTAGCATCATTGAGATATATTTGATAATCACTATCTGATATAGTTTCTTGAGTTAATGCTGAATAAAATGAATCTTTCGTGAATGGTTCCTCTTTATATAATTCTTCTTCGTAATTCTCCCATGTGATGAATTGATAAGGGAAAAAAGATTTAACACGTGATTTATTGTTTCCGAAATCTTGAGTGAATTAGTCTAATGTCCCACCCGCTATATAATTTCTGATGTCAATAAATCTAAATTCATATGGAACGTTTGTTTTCTTTACAATGATTTGCTTAAATTGTGAAGATGAACCCAGCATTGATTTTATTTTCCATTTTGCAGTGTTTAAATCACGCAGAATTAAATTTAAATCAAACTTTCCCGAATTAAAACCTATGATATTCACTTTATTGAATTCCTCATCTAGAAGTTCTTTAAATGCTTCCTTCTGTTTTTCATTTAATGTATGGGACAAAGTCCCCGCCGTTTGCGACTTCAATAATTCTTCATATTGACTCATATTTGATTTAGCAACTAATGAACAGGTTGAAAATAAAAACTCAATCCAATCAGAAATAAAAGAATCACTTGAAGTTAAGCAAAAATTCCTCGTATATGTTTTATCGTTTAATTTAACCGTTGATGATACCATGAATGGTTTTAAGTAAGCGTTTAAAGTTGCACACTCGGAAAGTTGTAATTCTTCTTTAGTCTCTAATGTTTCGAAGTCAAAAGTAATATAATATCTTGTCGGTTTATAATATTCCTGCAAATTATGAGCTAATAACCACTGATATATCTTCTGTTTCGTAATATGTGGTGCATATGGTTGCTGTGTCTTTTGCAACTGAACGTCTTGAATTAATCTCCCATTATTTTCTTTACATTTCTCACAATGCTTTAAAAATCTTCTTTGGTTTTTCCTTTCTGGATCATCACGGATAGAATAAACTTCTTCTTTACAATATGGACAAACTTTATAGCCGGTGAGTGCTTCAACGTCTGTTATTCTGTCAGCGTGAAGTTTTCCGCATGGACTCTGTGTTAATAAAATATTTACTGTTTCAAATTCTGGATCTATCATTATTGATTCCACTAATGGAAAGTCTACCTTATTTATGTCCACGTCTTCTGGTTGAGGATCACAATAATAGAAATCAATATTAACATTTAACATTCTCGCTAATCTCTCACTTTCTGATGAAATGTCAAACCCTTCATATGCATCTATTGCTTCATTTAAATAGCTTCTACGAGTTTTAAGATTAACACCATCAGGAATGTTATAGAAGCGTTTAAATAACCTTCTACCTTCTGCTCTAATTTGATTATCATTCATTTTAGCTGTTCCGTTTTTGTTCATTTATGTAAGAATAAAAAATTAAAAAATAAATAAAAATAAAGTTTATTTTTTAAAGCCCATAAAATGAATTAAGAACACATAAATTTTTATCATCTGCAACGTGACGAATACATTTTAATTTACTCAAGAATGCGTACCCTGATACATTAAATCTAATTCCTGTCTTATTTAATTTCACAACTTTGAAAAGGAAAGTATGAATAGCTATAAAATGATGAGAAGGTGTTTTATGGGTTGCTTCCATTTTTTCTGAAATAAATGAATAAATATAATGCTTATACGTTTTCATATCTTTTATGTTCTTAATAACGAATGGTATAGACCTTTCAACTTCATCTTCCTTCGGTGCTGTTCTTTCATATGAAACATTATTAGTATCTTCAATAATGAAACCGCAATCACATAAAATTTTATAGGTTCCAATGGTTTCTTTTGATATTTTATCTAATAAATCAAAAACTTTATCAACACCAGTGCATTTATTTAAATAATAATTTGTGTAAATATCATGATCTTCTTTCTTAATCGTATTAGTTGCATATGTCACGTTTTTAAGAGCTTTTTTGAATTTCTCAGAATCGAGAGGGGGTGAAAGTAGGATACAGGGGTATTCTTCATTATCAATAAATTGTAACTTATGTTTACGAATAAATTTAGTACCTTCTTCTGAAAGTGTTTCGTCTATTTCACCATCTAATAAATTTTGTGTTGATTCTGAGACATAATTTTTATATCTTTCTTCATGAGATTTCTGTACTTCTGATTCTGAAGCTGGGATATTCATTAAACCCTCTACTTCATTTTCATTATATTTTTCAACTTCTCTTAATTCCTTAATTTTTTCATCTATTTCATCTCTTATTTTTTTCAGTCTTTCAATTTCATCGTATTCATCATCTTTAATCCGTTCTTCATAATATTCAGGAAAAACATCAGGTTCTTTAGGTTTTTCTTCTTCAGATGTAGGATATAAGAAATTTATAACATCATCTTTATTCATTTTTCCATCATAATCTAAATCATTTAATAACTCCGCGAATTTTTTACAATTTCTTAAATAATATTTATTAACTTCATAACCTACCTCCTCTAATATATCCTTTATTTCCTCGTTTGTGAATCCTAATTTTTTAACGTTGTTAGTTTTGACGCTCATTTCATACAAAATAAAAAAATAAAATAATAAACATAACTAAGTTTTAATTTTTCGTAAGAAGTTTATTTTTATATATAAATCATTCTTAAGGTCAAACAGACTTCTTATTTTTATATGAACACCATCCTCTAAAATTCGATAATCTATTTTATCTGGTTTTACTTGTTGGGTCATTTATAAAAGATAAAAAAATAAATTATTTTAAAATTAATGTTAATTTTTTTTAATGATTTATAAATAAATATATTTTAATGCATCGTCTATATATAGATGTAACAAAAAAAGTCACTAAACCCTTCATACCCTACTACTACACGTACAATAGATTTCCCAGACATTATAAAAAATGAATAATTCTGAACAACTAAACTTGTGAATTAACAAAATTAAAACATAAATATTAAATATTTGATGAATGTATCATTGAATTTCACTGAAAGTTTTACCCCCTTCCTTTTTATTACTTTTGCAATGAGTCAAAAAACTCATTGTCTAAGTCAAATTAATTGCATTCGAGAAGTATTCCCATAGCGATGCTGATCAAGATAGTGTTTGGAACCTTTATTATGAAGGAATTAGTCCTCCTTCCAAAGTTTTTACCGGTGAAGTTGAAAAAGTCACAGCAGCATCTAACAAATGCTTTGCATACATCTGCAAGTTTACCAATCTTCAAGATAGAGCAGTTAAATTCGAATATACTGGTTGCTCGATTTTACTTTGCGAAAACGTTTTTTCAAAAGGTTCAGGTACAGTATATATTAAAGGTTATAGTAAAAATAACATTATTATTGATAAATTCTGTTCATTTGAAAGTCAAACTCCTACAGATGGCCAATTTACTTATTTCGAAGGTAAAATCAACAGTACACTCCTCCAAGGATCAATTTGTAATAGAGGAAATAGTTCAGTTCCTTATATGATTTACCAATCTCAAGGTTTTGCATCACTTTCAAAAACAAACATTTCTAACTGTATTTCATCAGTAGATCCAAGTTTTACTTATCAAAATGTTGAATCAACAGTAAATGTTTCATTTTGTAATTTTGAGAATTTAAAAGCAACTGGATCTGTTATTACTTCGTTTTCTTATTGTTCAGGAAGAATTGACCGATGTAATTATATAAATAATTCTCAAGAGCAAAATTTTGTATTAGTTTATGTTTATATGAATAGACTTGATATTTTCAATTCATCTTTCCAAAACAATCGACAGAATAACAAAGGAGTTTTATTTGATGGAAATTATGGTGGACAGATTTATATACATCAATGTAGTATTGATGATTTATCAACTGATGGAACAGTTGATGTATCAGATCAAGGAACAGAATCATTTAAAATTAGTTTTTACTACATTGATTTTAGTATATGTGCAAGAGATTTTGAATATGAAGTATTATTTGTACCAAAGAAAGAAAATAAAATTTGTTCTTCTTTTAAATCCATAAATTTTCTTTTTGGTAAATTTCATTTTTCTATTTTGTTATTGATTAAACGATAAAAATTTCACTTACACATATAGTTCTCTCAAGTGTGCACTTTCCACTTCCTGACATGCTAACAATATGCAAAATACAAGTTTGATGAGACACAGAAATTATAATCTTTGTTCATATGAGGAAAGCACCTAAATTTCTTTAAATTTCCTCATATATTATGGCTTAAATGTGACTTCTCATAGATACATGAATAGTAATCCTTGAACTGTTTAATTTTTTGACCTTTATATCTATAGGTTGCATATTTAAACGCCTACTTTTTTTTGACAAATGTAAAGAATCTTTTGACCATTGTCAAAAAATTTTTTTATGAATGTAAGTCCAAGAATTATTCACCAAGTTTCAGAAGCATTTCCATACATGAGGGTTAAGACAAAACTTAAGAATCCACGATCAACATTAGGTAAATCTATCAAAGAAATTTTAAATCGAGCAGGCAAGCGACAAATTTCACATCCAAAGCAAAACCAAACTTACGAAAACGATGATTCTGCATCAGAAAGTCGGCGAAGTAGTACAAGAATTAACGAAATCTTACATTTTCAAAATAACTTTGTAAGAAACAATTCTAATTCAAATTTAATATTGGAAAGTATATCAGAAGAAGCCGAAGATCAATTATTTAACGAATCACCAATTAAAAAATCTATTAATAATAAAATTTCTGAATTAATTCCATCACAAGACCAAATACAGCTCGAAGACATTACAGAAGAAAAATCTGAAATAAATACATCAATAATTTCCACAAATACAAAAAATTCATATTCATATTTGAAGAAGAAGAAAAAGAAGATAATTTCGAGTTTTATCCAGAATATGACTATTACAAACCTCGTCAACCTTACGAAAAACCTAAGAAAGGCTCAAAAAGAGTCAAAAGAAAACCAAATGCTGCATTTATTGAAGAACAACAAGAATTAAACACAGGAATTGATATTGATATTGAATATGAATATTCATATGAAGAAGAAAACAACGAAGAAGTTTTGTTTCTTGGAATTCCAAAAGACGGAGTTTATGCTAGTGATGACGATCATCGTGGCTTTCGTGTTAGTAAATATCCTAAACTGAACAGATACGAAACAGATCCAGATAAATATCAGGTCATTTCGACAATGAATTATCGATCTCGACTTTCAGAGTCAGTTTTGTCTAATGAAACATATCTATTTGAGTTCAACCATATATTCGATAGTGACCCAGATAAAATATCCCCTTTAACTCTTAAAAACGGATCAAGATTTATATTCTCTTCATCAAGTGATGATGAATCCGGACTCAAACAAGACAAATTCAATACACCAAAGAAGTATAATTACAATACACCTAAAATTAGCAAATCAACAACAAAAATTTCACAAAAAGAAAATTATCAACAATCAACTCCAAAAACAACAACAAATAAAGAAACCCATTCAAAAACCTCGCCTTTTAAACGAAAATTCCTTGATAATTCTAGTTCAGATGATGATAATTATAAATCTACTCCCAGAATCAAAAGAGATAATGCCAAATCAGCCTATAATTATAATAATAAGTTCCTTAAAGGAATTGATTAATTGTTTTATTTGTTTATATTTATAAATTGTTATATTATTCATCTAGTTATATTTTTCTTTGAATACAATGCTTGGATTATCTTTATCTTCTCGAGTTAAAAATAAATCATCATCAACAGGATCTGTCGTTATAAAAGTACCTTACAAATAATTTATTTGTTTCATCATTTATGGAGTTTGGAGTTACCCAGAGAAATGTATTATCATTACATTGAATAATAATATAATTTGTTATTATCAGCTCGATGAGAAGTAACACGTACAATAGATTTCCCAGACTTATAAAAAATGAATAATTCTGAACAGCTAACTTTGATTTAACCAAACTAACAGATAAATAATAAATATTTGATGAATATTCAGTGAATTTCATTTTTTATGAAGGAAGTTCACTTTTGGTGTCACCCCCATCCTTTTTATTACTTTTGCAATGAGTCAAAAAACTCATTGTTTAAGTGCAATTAATTGTACTCGAGAAGTATCCCCATAGCGATGCTAATCAAGATAGCATTTGGAACCTTTACTATGAAGGAATTAGTCCTCCTTCCAAAGTTTTTACCGGTGAAGTTGAAAAAGTCACAACAACATCTAGCAAATGCTTTGCATACATCTGCAAGTTTACCAATCTTCAAGATAGAGCAGTTGAATTCGAATATACTGGTTGCTCGATTTTACTTTGCGAAAACGTTTTTTCAAAAGGTTCAGGTACAGTATATATTAAAGGTTATAGTAAAAATAACATTATTATTGATAAATTCTGTTCATTTGAAAGCAAAACTCCTTCACAAGGCCAATTTGCTTTTTTCGACGGCAAAAACAGTACAATCCTCCAAGGATCAATTTGTAATGGAGGAAATAGTTCAGTAGATTATATGAATTACCAATCTCAAGGTTTTACATCACTTTCAAAAACAAACGTTTCTAACTGTATTTCAGTACGATGTACAGGTTTTAGTTATGATGATGTTGAATCAACAGTAAATGTTTCATTTTGTAATTTTGAGAATTTAAAAGCAGCTTTCTGGATTATTACTGGGTTTTCTCATTGTCAAGGAAGAATTGACCGATGTAATTATATAAATAATTCTCAAGAGAAAAATTCTGTATTAGTTTATATTTCTATAGATAGACTTGATATTTTCGATTCATCTTTCCAAAACAATCGACAGAATAACAAAGGAGTTTTATTTCAATCAGATTATGGCGGAAAGATTTATATACATCAATGTAGTATTGATGATTTATCAACTGATGGAACAGTTGATGTATCAGATCAAGGAACAGAATCATTTAAGAATAATTTAAAATTCATTGATTTAAGTCCATGTGAAGGAAATCTTGAAATAGTATTATTATTTGCTCCAAAGAAAGAAAATAAAATTTGTTCTTCTTTTAAACTTATAAATTTTCTTTTTGGTAAATTTGATATTTCACTTTTGTTTATTGATTAAATGATAAAAATTTCAATTACACATGCTTTCCACTTCCTGACATACTCATCACACATACGTGTATAGTAATCCTTGAACTGTTTAATGTTTTGTCCTTTATTTCTATAGGTTGCAGCCTTAATCGCCTGATTTTTTTTGACAAATATATAATAAGAATCTTCGGACAACTGTCAAAAAAAAAGTTATTTGCCAAGTTTCAGAAGCATTTCCATGCATGAGGGTTAAGACAAAACTTAAGAATCCACGATCAACATTAGGTAAATCTATCAAAGAAATATTAAATCGAGCAGGCAAGCGACAAATTTCACATCCAAAGCAAAACCAAACTTACGAAAACGATGATTCTGCATCTGAGAGTCGGCGAAGTAGTACAAGAATTAACGAAATCTTACATTTTCAAAATAATTTTGTAAGAAACAATTCTAATTCAAATTTCATATTAGAAAGTATATCAGAAGAAGTCGAAGATCAATTATTTAACGAATCACCAATTAAAAAATCTATTAATAATAAAATTTCTGAATTAATTCCATCACAAGACCAATTACAGCTTGACGACATTACAGAAGAAAAATCCGAAATAAATACATCAATAATTTCCACAAATACAAAAAATTCATATTCATATTTTGAAGAAGAAGAAAACGAAGATAATTTCGAGTTTTATCCAGAATATGACTATTACAAACCTCGTCAACCTTACGAAAAACCTAAGAAAGGCTCAAAAAGAGTCAAAAGAAAACCAAATGCTGCATTTATTGAAGAACAACAAGAATTAAACACATGAATTGATATTGAATCTTCCCAATTAAAATCAACAATTATTCAAAAAGATTTCAATACTTTGTATTTATATAAAAATATCCTCATTTATTCAGCGAATGCACATACATTGTACTATAATTTAGTTTATTCCACTTATCATTTACTAAGACTGAAGAACAATTTTATTTAAAGTTGATTTATTCTTAAAGGTGGAAAATGTTTATTTAGTTTTATTCTTTTTCATACCAGAAAGCAAGATAAAGAGCGAAAGCAAGTACAATTACTTGAATTACAATAACAAAGATACCAACACCTAGAAGAATCTTCTTCCATGCTTTGATAAGATCATCTACTTGTTGGGTGCAAGTTTCAATTGTTGTTGCAGTTGTGTTGTGATAACCACAGTTCTTCATATCTTCTTCGCTATATGGTGTCTTGTAACCACAGCATTCTAAGCCTTCTTTGATACTTTTGATTGTATCTTTGCCTTTGTTTTCATCCCACCAAGCTTGAACAGTAGTGTTAATCTTCTTTACAATACCAATTGCTACGGCAATGATAACAATTTCAATAACAACAACTACAATGAACAGGATTGCGTATGTGACTCTGTAGCATTTAATGTTACCAAAGCAAATAATAAGGAAGCCAAGAATGCATACAATTGCAACAAATACGAAAACAACAATCATCATAATTACACCTGTTTTTGCTTTGCCTAAAGTATCAAGGTTATTCTTTTTGATTGCAGCCCAACCAATGAAGACACATAGGCCAAGAATGAGAAGAACAATGAAGTTGACAATTCCAATAACTGTTCTAGCGCAGCAGGAGCAGCAAGTCATACTTGTGTGAAAATGAAGTTCTCTTTCAAACGTCATACTCTTTTCAATTTTTGATAAATCTTTCAATTACTGAATTATCGACATTCAAATGATATTTTAAGCGACTTGCAAAATATTACAATCATTTATTAATACTTTCTAAACCTATAAATTATGATCTTAAATTTTTTTTGGCAAAAAAATTCTGATCTTAAAAATTTATCAAGTTCGCATTAAACTATTATACTATCAGAAATAATTAATATTATCAACTTTATAATTTCAATTGGTTTTCAATTCAATAAAATCTATTCGATAATTCACAGGGCTCCATTCGGCACTTAATCTTCATAAACACTCCTCTCAATTGATTCATTTGTAATTGATATATAAAATAAATGTTTACTAATAAGATCTAATAACTCAAAAGACGAGTTGTGATATGAAAATATATAAGATTATTTGAGTAATTTCATGATCTTGATACAATATCTAGTCAATTTATGCCTTCAACATTTTTGGGACTCTATGATTTGGTAATTTGTGATATGAAAACTTTGTTTATTGTTACGCTGAATTTTGAAATGAGTTCTGTGAATAAGGAGATAATTGAATTAGATTAGGAATATAGGAATAATAAGCATTGGAACTTTGCTGGTAAGGCATGGGTAGAGGTTGACTTTGTTGATTTCCTTGCATGGAAACACGAATTAATGGTTGAAAGAAATTTTGTTGGTTGATTTGTGGGGTTTTATCTGGATTTTTTCTGGACAATTCTTATATAGATCATTCAATAAAAATGTTCGATTATCACCTTCAAAAGTTCGATAATTAAATATGTTAAAATGCAATGTAAATTTTGCACGTAAATCTTCATCCATGAACCATTCCCGAAGTTTGATATTTTTAAGTAAGTTACAAAGAGATGGAAAGTCAGATTCAAGCGAAGAACCTATTGGAGTATGAACAATCATATGATTCAAATACTGAATTTTCCTTGTGGTAACATCTCCCGTTATCAAATATTGTTCAAGAGTCGTTGGCCAAAGATGTAAAATCCGTAAAAAAATCAATAACCAGAGAAAGGAAAAAATGGCAATCGTTGTGGTTCTAATGATTGGAGTTTCATCGAAATATGAGATAACTAAACTGACAATTGAGGCTATATATGCGGTCAATAGTGGAAGTTCATTGAAAGTATTGAATATGTTGCCAATCAAAATTATAATACATGCGAAAATTCTGCCAATTCCGCAAGTGGGAGTGCATGATATGCAATTAAGAAACCTATGTGGTATGTAACAGCATTCACAGCATTTGGGCGGATGAAAACAACAGCTACAACAAAAATAAGTTTCACAGTCAAAATCTACAGTCAGGTTTCCAAGATATGCTTCCATATCATAATCATCCCATATATAATCACTATTGAATGACTGAGAAACCCCATTAACACCATCTTCAATTAAATCATCATCCGATTGATCATTTTGTAAGATAGAACTAATTTTCATCTGAAAAATGAAGTGAATGATTGGTTTGTCAAAAATTTTCACTCCCATATTATTTGTATTTAGGGATAAATCGATATAACATTTTTTAAAGATGTAAAAAATGCGGAAAAAGATGTTGTAAAAGATGTTGTAAAATTATTGAGAACAAAATTGTCACCTAAAAATAAAAGTCAAAAGGTTCAAGAAACACCATTTTTATAAAGAGATACCCAACAAAAATTGAGGGAGATTGAAAGAAATTGAGATGGAAATAACGCAAACTTTTTAATAAAATGTGCCTTAAAAAGGATGAAAATACTTTATAATTCTGTATATTCTTGAACATTATAAATTCGTCGAATAAAATTTTAAAGATTTTTAAAAATTTAAAAAATGAAATCTAGAATATATTAGGAATACCAGAATATGGTCTTTTATGAAATGTTTCAAATTGAAGTGACTTAAGATAAGATCGATTCTCCAGGTATTTAAATTCTTCCTTTGGATTATCTTGATCATTGTAAGTTTGAAAGATTTGTTGCTTTCGATTTTCTTTGACAATTGAAATCAATTTCTTTACACTGGAAATTGTTTTAAGAACTGATACACCAAAAATCGAGTAAATCACAATAGACCTCATCAACACCATTAGAAAACTCATTAAAATCAACTCTTAGTTCACGACAAAATTTTTTTATTATTGGATATATTTCTTTCGATTTGTATGAAAATCTTTGTATGAAATTTAGGTTGAGATAAGTTCGATACTTGATTGCAATAGAATCTAACGATTTAAGTAAACCAGGCCATTCTTTATTAATCCAATATAAGTACTTATTTAGATATTGTATAAAATTTCCAAATTGGAATTCAGTTTGATCTTTCAATTGATAATACATTGAAAGAGACTCTTCTGGTAATTCGTCTACATTAATTGAATAAATTAAGTTTAAAAGTTCCATAACTTTTTCATTAACTTTATAAACAGTTGGAGATAGTTCAAAAAATCAAACCTCTGTTGATAAGATGTAAGTGGCACTATAAATAATTTTGTAGATGGCGCGAATGCATTGAAGAATCTGCATACTTGAGTGAAAGCTATCAGGTAATCATTGTAATCTGCCATTAAAATTTTTGAAAAATTTATGTCAAGAGTGAAGAAATATAGGCAAGCAGATAGATAGTAAAATAGAAATGAAAAAAAAAGGTAGTGGGGCTTCCAGGCGCGTTGCGCCTCTAGCCCATAAGAAATTTTTCCCAAGACCCAAGAGGAGGACCGAACCCCAGCCGACCAGCCGGTGACACTTTTTGTGTCGCTTTTCACAAATTATATATGTTTTCATGTTTTGTCACTTTTCTGTCACTTTTCAGGTAAAAACATTTTTATTATTATATATAAATGAATTTTACAAAACCACCGTTACCGTTCTTTGGAAATAAGAGTGGATGTAAAGATATTATATTGAGAGAACTTAAGAAACTACCGAATGGTCTAACATTTGTAGATTTGTTCGGTGGAAGTTTCTATATATCCCATTTGTGCCATACAATATTCCCAGACTCAAAGATTATATGCAATGACTTCGACAACTATATGGACCGTCTCAAACATATACCAGACACAACAATATATTGAAAGAGTTAAAAGAAAAGATACCTATAGGTAAGATGGAACGTATACCATTAGATAAGAAAAATATTGTGAGAGAGGTTTTGAAAAAGCAGAATATATAGACTGGGATAGTATATCTGCTAGACTATTATATAGTGGTTCTATAAGAGTTCATGACATTGAAACACTTATGTCAAAAGTTTTATATCTTAACTATACAAATGTTTTCAAAGAGGACATAGAAAAATATATTGAGGGTATAGAGTTTGTGAGATGTCGTTGGACAGAGTTGTATGAAAAATATAAAGACAAGGAAAATGTTTTCTTTATAGTGGACCTGCCGTTCTATAACACATGGGATTTTCAATACCAAGTAGACTGGACTTTGAGAGACTCTTTAGAAACTTTAGACGTTATACATAACCATCCATGCTTTTACTTTACATCCGATAAAAGTGGTTTGGAAACCGTTATGAGATGGTTAGAGGACATACATGACTATGAGTTTATATATGACAAGATAGAATATGAGAGAGGTCCTATAAACCGGAGAAAGTGTCACAATAAAGAAATTTTATTAGTAAGTAAATGTGGTTTGAAATCGGATTGTTAGTTTTAGGTTTTTTCCATTGTGTCATTTATTTATTTGACGTGGCAGAAAAGTACAGAGAATATGAAGATGAACCAATGCCTGCAAATGTTCAGTATATGTACTCGTAAGAGATATTTTTATCTAATATTAAATGGACGCACAGAACTTAGCGAATGCACAGCAACCTGGACAACCAAACCCAGAGAATATTCCAAATGAAGTTAGAATACAAACTGCAATGGCAAACTATGGTCAAGTGCCAACAGATGTACAAATGCAAACTGCCATGTCAAATGACGCTGCGTTAGGTTTGCCACCATGGTATGCAAATATGAGATGGAAAGAGTTTTATACAAACCCTGAAGTGGGATATAAACAACTTTATGCAGATGACGCGAACACAGGAGTTGACCCAGAATATGTTTTCTACCAGAGGAGAAACAG